CCACTATCCTGTGTGATTTCTGGTGTGTATGCGAAGTGACGAAGTATGGGCAAAACATTTCCCACACTGCAGACATTTGTATGGTTTCTCTCCAGTGTGGGTTCGCTGATGTTTCACAAGAGTATCTTTCTGAGAAAAACATTTATCGCACTCCGAGCATTTATAGGGCTTTTCTCCTGTATGGATTCGGTTGTGGCCTTTGAGGGAACACGCATGAGCAAATGTTTTCCCACAGTCTAAACATTTGTAATTTTTTTCCCCTGTGTGAGTTTTTACATGTCTCTTAAGGGCGGATGTGGTAGAATAAAACTGTCCACATTCGATGCATTGATATGGTTTCTCCCCTGTGTGGGTTTTATGATGTGTCAAAAGGCCTCCCTGATGAGCAAAACATTTCCCACATTCTACGCATCTGTACGGCTTCTCTCCTGTGTGGACCCTCTCATGCCTTCCAAGGTGGTGTTTTTGTGAAAAACATTTCCCACACTCCCCACATTTGTATGGTTTTTCCCCCGTGTGGATTCTCTGATGAATCTGAAGCCCTCCAAGGGAACTAAAACTTTTCCCACACTCCCCACATTTATAGCGTAACTCTCCTTTGTGCCTCTCCTCGTGTCTCCGAAGTTCAGAAGAATATATAAATCGTTTCTCACAGTCTGGGCATTCATAAGGTCTGTCTCCGGTGTGAAGTCTCTGATGTCGCAACAGGTGTGATTTCTGGTAAAAACATTTACCGCATTCCAGGCACTTTTCCTTTTTCTCCCCTCTGTGTGTTTTCTCATGACTCCAAAGAATTGAACGCCGGGTGAAACATTTCCCACACTCAAAGCATTTGTACGATTTTATTCCTGCATGAATCTTCTCATGGGACCAAAGACTTGCGTTCTGAGAAAAGCTCTTTCCACATTCCCAACATTTGTAAGGCTTCTCCCCTGTGTGAATTCTCTCGTGGTTTCTGAGGGTGGATTTCTGACAAAAAAAATTCCCACATTCCAGACACTGATAGGGTTTCTCTCCCGTGTGGATTTTCTGATGTGTAAGAAGACTTGACTTTCGACCAAAGCATAAGTCACATTTTATACATCTATAGGGTTTTACTCTGGGGGGGTTTCTGAGACTTTTGGTGTCTGTTCCAGAGGATTTCTCACCCTCCAAACCTTGACTGGATCCACTTCCCACATGGATCTTCTTGTGAGTAAAAAGCACTGATCTGCGACCAAAGGATTTCCCACACTCTGAGCATTCATGGGGTTTTTTGTGGTTTTCCGGAGTGCTGATTGTGTCTGACGGGGGATCCAAGAGTTTCCCAAATTCCATGCTTTCTGGTGACTGCTGCCTTGTGTTGATTTTCTATTATGTGTTGAATTGCAGATAAATCTTTGTTTACAATCTTTTATCTGCTGTTAGAATAAAAAAGAAATCGAGAATAATATTTTCTTCTGAGAATGGTACAGAATCACAAAATCTCAGCCTTGGAAGGGACCTTGAAGGTCTTCCAGTCCCACCCTCTGCCCAGGGTAGGGTCCCCAGTACACCCAAGACAGTGATGGAGGCCCTACATCTGTAGGAGAGATGTCCTCAACTTATGACCACAGTCGGGACTGGAATTTCAGTTGTTCAGTGAAGCAGCGGTTAGGTGAGGAGTCACATGATCTCTTGGATCCACAACCATAATCCCACACTGCTGGTTGCAATCATTAAGTGATCTTGAGGTTTCTTGAGTGGGGGGAGGAGCAGGCAATGGTGGTGGTGGGGGTCCTGGAGATCAGGCATAGGCCACCCATGAGTTGGGTGGGGGTCCTGAAGTGGGATATAAAGCTGTAGCCAACCCTGGAAGCCTGAGCTATATACAACCAGAGCCATGAAAAGCAGCCCTGATTGACAACAATGCTGGGACTGCGTCTTAAGTGGAGATCTGGAGTCTTCAACAATTTCAGCCATCTGCCACTGACCCCAGGACTGGACCTCAGCCCACTGTCTCTGCTGCCATTGAGAAATGAGGCCTTAATCTCCAAAGTGGAGGCCTTTGCAGGTTTGTCACATTTTACAAGCCGCATGTTCCATATTGTTGCTAAGCAACGTGTCCCAAAGGATCTCTATCCTTCTTCAGGGCCCCTCAACTTCCACATTTCCTGTGCCAGGACTCACAGGGCCTCCACTGCCCACTTCAGGCAACCCCACATTCCTTAACTGGGACTTTGTCTGCTTGTGAAGTAGCTTAACAACCACGAGTGCAGGATTGCAATGGTTGAGTAAAGTGGTCATGTGACATCTCACTTAATGGCCGCTTCTCTCAAAGACTGAGATTCCGGTCTGAATTGTGCTCATAATACGAGGAGTACCTATAGGGAATCCCCAAAATTAAGGCATCACATAAGCAAGAGAGGAAGGAAGAAAGTTCGGGTTAGTGTAAGCAACCCATTCCAAATTCCCTTTTTCTCGCTTTTTCCAATTTTTGCACCATTGAGCTCCATCCCATCATGACTTCTTGATCCCAGCTTCCTCGTGACACATTTTATAAAATACTACAAGAAGGGGAAAAAATGGACCCAGGAAATTATAGACCAGTCAGACTGACATCAATACCTGGGAAGATCCTGGAAAAGACAATCAAGCAAGGAATCCGTGAAAACGTAGAAACCAACAAAGCTATTACTGGAAACCAACATGGGTTTGTCAAAAACAGATCACGCTAGACAAAACTTAGTGCTCTCTTTGACAAAGTGACTAAAGTGGCTAAAATAGTGGAACAGTGAAGTGGACATACCCCCCATGTTTCCCCAGAAATAAGACCTGGTGTTATAGGTTTTCTTGCCTCCAAAAGAGGCACCAGGTCTTATTTTCAGAGGATGCTTTACCTTAGAACAGCCGCAGCCATTTACTCACCATTAAAATTGCAGCTAAGAATTCTCTGGGTCAGTTGTTCCCCCTCTGAATCAAGGCCAGGGATGACCCCTCACTGCTGACCGGTTTGATTTCTCCGTAACCGATTGGCAGCTGCTTTCCTGCTGTTGGAACAAGAAAGAAGATGAGAACAGGATTTTCTTTCGAGAAACATACAAAATCATAAAATTGTTGGGGTCAAGATGCTGACATTCGTAAACTGCTCAGAGAGTGCCGTAAAACACTTCGTTTCTAAGTT